TGTAGTAGACTAAAACTAACAAACAGACAGATACTAATACTGATAGCAAACAATGAACTACTATATCATTAACAGGTGTCTGAATAGCACAGACAGAGAGAGGAGACAATGGTAGTGACTAAAACAATTACTAATGAACTATATTCATTAACAGGTGTCTGAATAGCACAGACAGAGAGAGGAGACAATGGTAGTGACTAAAACAATTACTAATGAACTATATTCATTAACAGGTGTCTGAATAGCACAGACAGAGAGAGGAGGACATGGTAACGACTAAAACAATTACTAATGAACTATATATCATTAACAGGTGTCTGAATAGCACAGAGAGAGAGGAGACAAGGAGTGACTGAATAAAACAATTACTAAGTATACATTAACAGGTGTCCTGAATAGCACAGACCAGAGAGGAGGGACAATTGTAGTGACTAAAACAATTACTAATGAACTATTCATTAACAGGTGTCTGAATAGCACAGACAGAGAGAGGAGACAATTGTAGTGACTAAAACAATTACTAATTAACTATATTCATTAACAGGTGTCTGAATAGCACAGACAGAGAGAGGAGACAATGGTAGTGACTAAAACAATTACTAATTAACTATATTCATTAACAGGTGTCTGAATAGCACAGACAGAGAGAGGAGACAATTGTAGTGACTAAAACAATTACTAATTAACTATATTCATTAACAGGTGTCTGAATAGCACAGACAGAGAGAGGAGACAATGGTAGTGACTAAAACAATTACTAATTAACTATATTCATTAACAGGTGTCTGAATAGCACAGACAGCGAGAGGAGACAATTGTAGTGACTAAAACAATTACTAATTAACTATATTCATTAACAGGTGTCTGAATAGCACAGACAGAGAGAGGAGACAATGGTAGTGACTAAAACAATTACTAATGAACTATATTCATTAACAGGTGTCTGAATAGCACAGACAGAGAGAGGAGACAATGATAGTGACTAAAACAATTACTAATGAACTATATTCATTAACAGGTGTCTGAATAGCACAGACAGAGAGAGAGGAGACAATGATAGTGACTAAAAACAATTACTAATGAACTATATTCATTAACAGGTGTCTGAATAGCACAGACAGAGAGAGGAGTACACATTGTATGTGACTAAAAACAATTGTAGTGACTAAAACAATTACTAATGAACTATATTCATTAACAGGTGTCTGAATAGCACAGACAGAGAGAGGAGACAATGGTAGTGACTAAAACAATTACTAATGAACTATATTCATTAACAGGTGTCTGAATAGCACAGACAAAAATAATTCGCAGTATATAATCAGTAATGTGGGGTTCTGGGAGAGAATTAAAAATGCAACAAATTCCACTGAATAAAACTGTGAGGAAAAGATTACTGTGCTGGACTCACTGAAAAACTGATAATAATGTATACCTAGAACATCATTGCGCTGGAACCCACAGGGTCAAATAAATACAGGAAAACCACCCCCTTCCCCCCCCCCCCAAAAAAAAAAAAAACATGAAGAGGACATTCAAAATATGGAACAGAAATGGAGGAAGCTCAAGGAGACAGTAAAAGCATGAGATAGTTGAGTGCCTGTGCTCCAATGAGGGATAAAATACAAACAAAGAAAATCAGGCAATCACATTTCCAACTTTATAGCAAATTATTCAAACTCACAACAAACCATAAAAGAAAATTAGTAACCACGGAAATGAGATGTCTGAAAAGGGCTGTAGGAGTGACCATAAGAGATAAGATCAGGAATGAGATCATAAGAGAACAAGTTGGCACAGAACCAATTCTGGATTACATACAAAGACAGCAAGTGAAATGGTTTGCCCACTTAGAGAGAATGCCTTGTGACACCATACCATACAAAGCATACATGGAAAGAGAAGAAGGACGTAGAGCACGGGGTAGACCAAGAACAAGATGGAAGGATAACATCAGAGAAACTCTACAACAGCACGATGTGCATATGGTCGAGGCAGCCAGAAGAGCTAGAAACAGAACCTTATATCTCCCTCGACACCCACAGCGGTAAAAGAGGAAGTGAAGAATAAGAAGAAGATTCAAACCACAATTGATCTGTTCTTGTACCAGCAAAAACCGTACATAATATTCATCACTGTCTCTTTAGAAGGCATGGTATCAGGAAGGAGGGGCAGGGGCCGACCAA